TTTTTTCCCTTTTCTTTTGTCTTTAACATATAGGCATTTTTTTAAACATTAGGAAAATACTAAAAAAAAGAACTTATTAGATCAGAACGTTTCTGGAAAACCTACTAGCGTCATTAGATCAGGTACATCGCAGTCAGGAATCGAGTAATATTCATAGTTATTGGAACATCACCCTGCCGCTTTCTCTAATACCGAAGTATATTCTACAAATCTTTTTGACAATCTCCACCAGTTTAATAGAAGTTTCCTTCTGCACTCACGCCTTTCTAAACTCATTCAAATTCATTAGCTCCATCAACAACACCCCATCTGTAGACTCGGCCAGAGCAGTAAAATATTTCTCCCAATACCTGCTACATCTCTCTTCTAACGGTATCTCACTCGCTCTGCATCCAACACATGCACAAAAAAGTATCATGCCATTGTAAACAAAAGGACACTCTCATAAGAAAAGTGTAATAGAAATGCGAAAGATCGTTACATTGTTTATCGGTGAACAGTGGATAGCTCGCAAAGAGCCTCGTAAATAAAGGTAGAACATGGCAGGAAAAAAGCGCCCTTCTAAGCTGGTCGACCCATCAACTCTACATACATTTACCATTGATACGCGTTGTCTAATTTTAATCATACTCCGCTTAATAATCTTACCCCAACCTAATTTTGATGTTATCCAATATCCTAAATATTTAAATTCTTTTACCCACTTAATTTTATGCTCACCGATTGAAAAATCAAATTTAGGAATTCCGGTGATTCTAGTGGACCAGATCGCCTCCGTTTTCGAATAGTTAATAGGTTGTACAGTTAGTAGAGTATAATATTGGCTAGCCGTATCTTCGCCAATTGCACTTTCGCCAATGGCGAGTGGCATGTGAACTTTCGACAATACAACGTCTTCACTTTCGCCAATTGCCGAAAGTCATGTGGACCCTTGCCAATACGATCACTTTACTTTCGCCAATTAGCAAAACTCTGGTGGAATTTCGTCATTATTGGTCAAAGTCCGCTGCGTTCTCGGCAATTCGAGTAGAGGGTTTCTGGTACTTGGTGAGAATCCGATGCCTTCTCCTGTGTTTTCGTCAATCTAGTGAACTTCCACTAGACTTTCACCAATATTTGACTTGAAGTCAACTCCGACCATCAATGCAGGTGACGTTCCTTTTTTTCCGCTACCAACAGGACTATGAACAAAGTAAAGCTAATGATGTTACTGTTTCAGCCAATGCATGATTTTATCACAACGTCTTACGAATCTTGTTGCAAGAAAAATCATGTGGGATCTTATAAGACTCTTGAACCATAGAGAAAGATGCGTACACGGATTTCTGAGTACGAGTACTGAGGGTCAAGTACGAGTAGGAGTACGAGTATTTTCTGAAAAGTACTCGAGTACTACTCGAGTATCAATACAAAACAGAATACAAGTTTTGTTAATGAAACACTACTAATGAATCTTTGTTTAAGGTGAAAAATTTTATAAAAGAAATTTTGTGATAGAAACAGAAATCAAAAAGTGAATTCAAGCATAGATCGTGGTGTGTTTAGAGTGGTCAGGTAACTAGAAAATTTCTCTATGTTTGAATTCACTTTTTGTATATCAGTTTGACTGATGATATCTTTAGAATAAAGGCGAAACGTCTCATTTTGAAATTAGTCATTTTACATGAAAAGGGTGAATTTATTCTTAATTTCTATTATAAAATTTTTTACCGTAAACAAAGATTCATTAGTGTTTCATTAACAAAATTTGTATTCTGTCACTGTTTCTGACCTGAGTAAACATTTTACCATGTATTTACATTTTTAGTATAAGGAGATGGAGCATTATAAAATTGTGGATTTTTTGTATGATCATTCCACCTACTTTTTTCTTCGGTTTACACAAACAAATAATTATAATAATAACACAGATAAGAATCGCTTCACAAACTATGCATCCGACAACGATTCTAATAAATTTTTCTAGCAGACAAAATACTATCATATGCATTTGAAACACTACTTGTCATATATTTCTTTTATATGTTTTAGAATATGAACATTTAACCTCGGAAAAAGAATGTTTTCGTAATACGGTATTTTTTAATTAATTATGGAGTGTCAAACAGTACGTACTTACACTTAAAAAAAAATTTTTGTTATTTCGTTCATTAACTTTAATAACAAATGTTGCAACAAATGATTGAATTTTTTTCATTTGCCTTATTCAACAAATAAAAAGGAGACAATGATCAAATGTATCCTTTCCAGATTTTCAACGAGTAGAAAAATGATAGTCGAGTGAATCTAAATAGCTAAAATTATGAATAAAATAGTTTACAACTAACTTACTATTTCTGGATTTAGAATAATAATACAATATGTAAAAAAGAGCACCGGGATTAACTCATGGACAGTGTTCTTCTAACTGATGCTTTCAATTTACTGAATTTGCTTATACCATTGAACGAATTTCAACGTTAGCAGTCTGTGGTAGTTCGTATTCATAGATAGCATGACAGATTGTAAACTCTATAGGAAAAATAATTTCGAAATCGACGACAAACAACTACATTGAATAGAACTGCCGCGATGGTTTAAAAATAAACGTAATAATATTTATTATATACTCAATAGTGACCATGAGAACAATTAATGATTCGATGAAATCATTGAAAATTACAATCTTATATAATGAGTTTACCGTTGTCGTTATCGATAGGCTTTTTTCCATTTGTTGAGTTAGAATGTAACTGATTTCATAGATTATTTATCCTATTTATTCACCTCACCCTCCCACCAATACGTAAAAGATGTGAGTGCATAAATGTACATAGTGTTTTGATAAAATTGTCTTTATTTATTTTTGTCTAAAAATTATAGCGAGCTCAAGCCGCAGAAGCAAAAATTCAAGCAGCTTATTAAAGGTTAAAAGGTTGATTATAATTCAGCGCTTTTAGCAAAATTAGTATAACTGTGCAAGGCGAAGTTGTACAAACCTGTGGGACATCTCATTTTGATCAAAACACTCTGCTCAACATCCATCCATGTCTGTTAAAATGGAAAGCCTTAAAAATTTTAATTGAAATTTGAAATTTAGAAAAAGGATTTTAGAGCTTTCAGAAAGATTTTTCAAAAATCTTAAAAAATATTGAATTTTTGGCAAATTGAGATGGATTCTGCAAGATGACAGTTTGGGATACTCAACCATATGCTTACTTCGGTTTCGAACGCTTTGAAGAAAAAGTTGAATTCCTGAGGGAGCTTCCTTAAGCTATTGTTGATCAAAGATAAATCTCTACTTCGGTCTAAAAAAAGGTTATCTGATGGGAAGCAGATCTCTGTGCGTCTGAAACATTTTTTTATTCTTTTCTGCTGTGAAAAATATTTTCGGTATTAGTTCGATTTTGAAAAAATACAAACTCATCTACTCCTACTGGTTATCATGACATAAAGTACAAGGTCAAATGGAACCAGTAAGTATTCGGAAAATGATTGAGAATCACTACATTGAGTCTTATTATATAGAATGAAATTGTTTTTGTTGCCATAAGTTGTTTGTCATATTCAGCCCTTTTTATAGAGATGTATATGTAAAAGTGTTATATGTGTTTATCTTATATTTATTCCCAGACCGAAGAATCTTGAAATATGATCGTATAGGATCATGCAAGATCTTGTAAGATCATATTACAAGATTTCACAAGATCTTATACGATCATATAAGATATTACAAGATGTCACAAGAATCTTGGTTCAGCAGAGATGGGCGAGTACGAGTATATACTCGTAGTTGAGTATACTCAAGTACAAAATTCCTAGTACTCGTACTCGTACTCGAGACGTTTTTTAACGAGTATTCTAAAAAATACTCGAGTACTTCCCAAAAAACTGGTGACTTGTTTTTTGCTATTTACGTATCAAAAAATCGATTTTTTTCAGAAATTTTTAGGTAAAAATTTCAGACTAATATTATTTTCCCATGGAAATTGTTTTGCGCCATTTTGTTTCAAAAGTTTTTCTAAACTTTTGGAGGTACTCCTCGCCAAAAAATAGAAAATCTTCTGAGTTATCAAGTGTGCTGGATACAACAAAAGCACTTTACAGCAACTCAAAACCAACTTTATTTTTCTGTTCCGGTGATATGCTTAACATTTCTTATAAGCTAATCTTGTAAGATTTTACCACAAGAAATTACAAGATTTCGCAGGATCATACATGACCTTAAGATTGCATAAGAAATCATTAGATCTTTTAAGAATTTGTAAAGCGTCTTTCATCTGGATTCGCCTGTTGATAACTATGGAAATCAAAAGTGCTTTGAAATGAATAGAATTGCTTTGTAAAGTACATATTGAACTTACTAAATCATACTTAAAACATATTCTAGTATAACGATAAGTCATGAAGTTTTGTTTATTTGTATGTTGATGGATTTTATTTCTTTGTTTATTTTCAGACGGATTACAATTCAATCAACAAGAACAGGTCACTACACCAGCTCCTTCTGTTCGAAAAATTGGAGCAAAAACTTTAAAAATTATTTGAATATTTTATTCAGACCGATGTTAAATTATTTAGAAGACCACGAGCAAGAGAGTGCAATGCTATAGAAAACCATCGACTTTGTATATAAAGGCAATTGACACACTCAGCATTATCATTGTTATAGTGTTATCAATCATCTTAAAAAATGTTAATGAATATTTAGTAAAACTGGAAAAATATTAAGAGGACACAACTAGTTCTTTTGTCTAAATTACTCTGATGCTTTCGTTTTTGCTTAATTCAATCAATCTTATATGTGTGAGCTAATCTGTTGTCGGTATGTATTCAAACTTGAATTTCTGTCACCATATCATTTCGATTATACAGTTCGGATACAAATAAAATTTTGAATTATGAGTGTAGTACAAATGCTAAAAGCTGTATGCGTGCACATCTCTATTGCACTATGTTCTGACATGAAAAGTACAGTAACTGAAACAAAAAGAAAGCTCGGTCTGTTAACTGGTATGCGGCTAATTTGCTTTTTTGATATTGGATAACCACTTGATAACTTTAGCATTTCGTTCCACTGTCGACTGCAACTGCTGTGTAGGCGTTGTTCCTTCTTCTAAATCACTGTCATTAGATTGATCAGTGAGTGTTCGCCGATCGAGTGATAACACGCTAATGCTTTCAAATTTTGTATCGCCCACCGATGTAGTTACTTTGTACAATGGAGATTTATCGATACCCATTCTGTCACAAAATCGACCGAATTCTGCTGCACTTTTACAATGTAACGATGATATATCGGTACCAGCCAACGTTTTATGGAATGTAGTTATATTTTGTTTACTAGGTAAGTCTACCTAAAGCATACCACACATACACTGACTTGTTTCCTAAGCGATATGGCGCGCTAGTCTTATAGCGCTCGTCGAGCTGTATCAGAGAAATCTGATTCTGAGTACTAACCTTGGCATGCACCGGTTATTTCGATTATAGTAGTTATGATCGACTAACTTCTGAAAATCAACGGCCGATATTGGTTATGCTCGTAATCAATCTCAACCGATAGGTCCTGAATAAAAATTCTTCAAGTTTTTGCGTCATTAACTGAAAAAACGATCCACTTATTCCGGTGTAATCAACCTGACGCATATCTATACAAGTTCATCGAGAATGAAAGATTTTTATGACTACATTTCACTTTCACAACCAGCATTGTGTCATTTTCGACTTTTATAGTCCTTTTTACGAAGCATCCCAACTTGTTTTTCTAATCTGCTTTTGCTTTCAGATATGAATCTGTTACAGTTGATATGAAAAAGCAGTTCAAAAGCTACGTACGCATTTAGGAAATTAAGTTTACTTTATGTAGAGTTTTTGAATTTTAGATTTAATGGCTTTAGGATATGGATAATGCCATACAGATTCTCTCATTATCACATTATGAGTTAGCTGACAAGATATGATTACGCTTACTGAGCAGAGCATCAATAGTTACCTAAAAATGTCCACTTATCATTTAAAATATTATTCGCTGAGAGGTCGAACAAAAGGTAAGTCTGCCCATTTTTTGGGAAATTCCATAAAACTGACATCATGATTTCATCACTTTTTGTATTTCTGACCATGTAGTCGAAAAAAGTATTAAAAAAACGTTGCGTGGGCATGCATCAAACAGTGTGTCAATCTTCTTAAGCCATATTATCTCCTAGGTTATCCGATCACATGCCGATAAAAATTTTCTAAGTATACATTAAAAAGTATCCTACAGTCAAATACGACAATAAGATCGCATTTGCATAAATCCTTTTAAGAACGCGCAGGATGTTGCCATAGTACCTGACTTTCTTCATAAGTAGCGAATCATTTTTAGTGTAGTTATAAAAAAGATGAACGGAAATTGTACGGAATATTTGTTGTTAAAAAACGATGAAACACTAAATTAGAAGTAGACTTAAATCAGAATTGTTCACAAACATTTTTAATCTTACCCAGTTGTATTGGTTAACCGATATTATTTATAATGATCTGGTTAGGGATAGTCAACTATAACATACACAAATAATATGAATGGTATAGCTAATTAATCTCTGAATTGATCACCACTCAGGCAGATGTAGATTGAAAAGGGCTTCATTTGTGTTTGATTAGTATTCAAAGTTTCACTATGTCTATTACTATAGCAATATTCCCCGCGTTCATACACAGATTTGTGATAAATCGTTCTTATCCTTATATTTGAATGCAAAATGCTTTTTATATAACCTATACTTTAAAATTATTACTGAATTATAACTTGACAACCACAGGATACTGTCCCAAAACCATTAAACCTTGGTTTTTCATGCAAACTGTAAATGGTTCATATCTGAGAAAAATTTATTTCTTAGCTGAACTTACTATATTTATAGTTTGTTGTTGTTGTTGTTGAAGTCGTGGAATGATAAAATCAATCGGAAATGAATCTTCATCATTTTCATATCCTTTACTGAAATCGCGATATTTGGAATTATTTAAATGTAATAATGAACGACATTTATTGTTAGAAGAAGATGTGACAGTTTTTGGTTGTTGTTCCTGTCGAGTTTCCGCTTGAGAATCAACCATTTGTCGTACGTTGATATATTCAACACCAATATGTTGCTGAAAATTGATTGATAGAATTTTCTCAGGAATATGATTAGTAGTAGACAGGATACTTTATATGAATTGCTGCTGCACAATATTGAACTATAAAACTAAACAGCAAAATAATAGTCAGGAAGATGCGTGTTATAACAAATATATTGAATTTTCTATATATTTCAAAATTCTATTTAGTGAGGAAACATTGATGTATTTCTGCGTTTGTGTTACTTACTTTTATAAGTCTTTATTGATTGATAACTGTTCATTGTCATATTTTGTTACTTTTAACAAAATAACTTCTCGATTTTTCTAATAGTAAGTCTTTCAACAAACAGCAAATTTTTCTTAAAATATGAGATGAATCGGTAGTGTTAATTAACAGCAGGAAATAGACACAAACAAGAAAACAAGTTTAAAACAAATAATGTACTTGATAGAAAATCCTATATTATCTGATTATAACAGTATAAAATGAATATTTATTCTCATATATATCGTACCCTTGTCTCTCTTCACCATTTACTTTTGTTTAGAGATTTAGAGAAAAAAACAAACGAAAAGAAGGACTATTTTACTCAAGTGGTAAATATCAAGCAAGCTGAGTAATATATTTCTATTTTTAGAAACTAACTAAAGTAAAGTTAATATTCAAAATAATTTTTTCCATTTTTTGGAGATAGTTATCCAATTTAGTTTTAAAATTCTCCGGTATTGATTAGAAATATACAGGGAAAATTATACTCAATAAATTTGAAATTATATCTATATTTAGAGAATACTATTTATAGGATTATGGGTTTATAGGATTTATAGGAATTGTATATATCTATGTTTGTCACATGTATTTAAAAATATGCTAATAAATTTTACTTATCATACGTAGTTACTATTTGATTTCGTTTTCAAGTTTACTATTTTCATAATGTAAGAAATATTTCAATTTATTTTTTTTTGTCTGTTACAGTTTCTTTTTTCTTGAATTCTCATCATCATTGTAAAAAATAATAATAATAGCTACATGGAAACATAACGAGCACACAAAATCTCATTTTTATTCACTAAGACTGAAAAATAAAACTTCATTCAAAAAAATGAGAGAAAAGAATGAGCATATCAGTTGAACGACATTATTGAAATAAGAAAGTAATTTCTATTTTGTATATAAAGATGCCATTGAATTTGAAGATATTGTTGGTTGTTTTTGAAGTATTAGGTTTACAATAATACTTTCTACTTAGTATTACTTTTCAACATTCTTGAACATGAGAAAGGCTGAAATCATTCGAAATTAACAGTAGATATTCTCTTTTCGATATCTAAAAAGGAAATAGTATAGACAAAATTAGTCAACTGTATTGAAGAATATCATTTACACTGACAAGGGACGGTCCACAGGTGTTTCCCCGGGATTTCAAAGCAATGTACCTCATTTTGCTAATTTAAGGATGCTGATTATGAACCTAAAAACCATTCGTACTCTCGTTCAATCCTTGAAGAGTTATAAGCATTTTATTTTAATAGTAGCGAAGAGTACCATATTTTGAAAAAATCACAGCTTTTCATAGAAATGTTCAATAGAGCTGAGAGATATGCCATTCTACAGATAAACACCTTAGCTATAAAATGATATGTGTTTTAGCTTCAGAGAACGTTTGA